CCCTCCCCCCTCCCCCTAAGCATGTCCTCGGGGGAGGATTAGAAAAAAAATTAAAAATAAAATAAAAATAAAAAAAGAATATGAATTTCTACATTAAAAAAAAATAACTCTGTAGGCCCTAGCTGGTTTGGCTCAGAGGATAGAGCATTGGCCTGTGGACTGAAGGGTCCCAGGTTTGATTCTGGTCAGGGGCACATGCCTGGGTTGTGGGCTTGATCTCCAGTAGGGGTCATGCAGGAGGCAGCTAATCAATGGTTCTCTCTCATCATTGATGTTTCTATCTCTCTCTCCCTCTCCCTTCCTCTCTGAAATAAAAGCATATATATAAACATAAATAAATAAATAAAAATAAATCTGCAGGATAGAAAAGTCCAACTTAAGACTCATTGCCCACATATGCTGGTCCCTCCAGCACTTGTTACTCCAGTCCCCTCCAATACAGTTTTGATCATTTCTTAGCAAACGTCCCAGTGTATACCAAGTCTAGCCACTACCCCTGGATGCTCGCACACCTTTGTGGTGGGGCAGGGCCTCGGGAAGTCCTCAGGATGAGGCCAGCAGAGTTTATCAGGTGCAAACAGACCAAAATTTGGCCATGTGAAGGGAGGACTCTGTACGGGTTGTGCCTGGGAAGGAAAAATGGCCCCAGACCTAGAGCCACACAACTCAGTCTGTGCCAGATTCTCCAGGAGGCCCATCTCTGCAGGGCAGAGCCACCTAGAGTCAGAAGGGTGGGGCTAGGGAATCTCCCTTGAGGGGGGAGGTGCCTGTCAAGCTTTGGGGAAGGTGGGTGGAGTGGCCCTCAGCCCTGCACCAACAACTCAGCCTGTCCTGGATTCTGCCCAGACCCCTGAAAGGTGGAACCACCAGGAGTCGGGAGGGTGGGGCTGCATGGAGCCCAGGGAGTGGGACTAAGGGATCTCCCCTGAGGGAGGCACAGTCAGGTTCACGGACACTTTGGGGAATGACCCCTGCCTCAGAGCCACACAACTCAGTCATTGACACCTCAGAGTCTGCACAGACCTCTACACCCCTGCCCAGGCAGCTGACTCCTCAGCAGAGCGCAAGCTCCACAGGGTTTTTCTTGCCTTGTGATAAGCAGTTGGACTACGCATTTTTTGATGGTTGCCTGCTGACCGCTTGAGCCTCAGCTGCTCTTGTCCCTATTACCTCGCACTTGAACAAGCTGATAAGAAAGCCTGGGTGGTGTCTCCTATTCAAACCACAGAATCCCTGCCTGTGCAGAACTCTTGCCCAGGACCCATCTTCGAGGCCCACATGACCACACCAGGCTCCATTTCTGGCTCTGAGAGGCCAGCCCGGTCCTCCTGAGACCTCTATGTGAGTCCTAAGGCTTTTCTTAAAAATATATTTTATTGATTTTTTACAGAGTGGAAGGGAGAGGGATAGAGAGTTAGAAACATTGATGAGAGAGAAACATCGATCAGCTGCCTCCTGCACACCCCCCACTGGGGATGTGCCTGCAACCAAGGTACATGCCCTTGACCGGAATCGAACCTGGGACCTTTCAGTCCGCAGGCCGACGCTCTATCCACTGAGCCAAACCAGTTAGGGCTTAAGGCTTGTCCTGCTCTCTTGGTGTGGGTGTGAGGGGCGTGACACACCGGCATCACTCTCATCCACACCTCTGCAGGTGAACATAACACTTGAAGTTGCTGCCAGGAGCAGCACATCCCAACATTACCAGCCGTGTGGGTCTGTCTTCTGTTTCTCAGACTTGCTGACCTGTGGCTGCTGGGTGCCGGGCGGATGGTGCTGGGAGCTGTGGCATTGCTGAGCCAGTTGCGCCTCACTTCTATGTACCAGAGCAGGAGCTTGCATGCATT